ATGAACGCGAACACAGGTCGTACAGTCTCTTTCTCGGAGACGGGATGCGCAGCCCATCTAGGGAAAGTGTGCCACTACTTAACCAGGTCGGTAACGGCTAAACAAAACGTGAGCAACATAAACTGCGAAAAGCGTTTGGTTCTTCTGGCAATTTTTATCAACAACAACCGACTTTCTAACGATAAGATCTCAAGTAACAATCTGCTTAAAAATCACGGACCGTTCATTATACGCTGTAATTGCAACCGTATCTTAAAACAAAGCACTAAAAGGCGTTTTCATTTTTAGCTGCGATATTAATGTTTTTTACATTGTAACACAAATGCTGATGTACTAAGCAGTGCCCTTATTATACGCTAATTTCTCTAACTCTTCAACAGACAAACTTTTATCAGGCATCATTAGATTATAACTCTACTTGAAAAAGAGAATGCAATTATTTGATAATAAATATCTTAATTGTTGTATACTTAATGAGCCAATGGAATTTTAAACAATGCGAGTTAAGGCGAGGTAATCATTTTGCATCCAGAGCTGAACATAATGTAGGTGTAAACTAGCTTACCCAAAATACATCATTCCATAAAGAAAACACTTACCGGATGTCGGTCCATTTAACCCACTTTCTGTATCCACTGTTTCAGTTTTGTGACAGATACGACAGTGTAGGAAGTCGAGGAAACGTCTGTATGCATTTTTAAAGAAAGCCCGCAACCGCGATTGCTCATTAAAGCCTGTGGTTCCTTCCCAGCCCTCAAGTTCCCGTTTCTTAAGGAGTTCCACGTATCCTTTAAGTAAATAAAATTTCACTTGAGTATGGAAATGTAATAAGCTTTCTGATACACTTAATTAGCTGAAGTACATTAAGCTCCATTACAGTACGAAAAATTAAGGCGAACAAAGGATTTCGTATAAGACAGAAGAAGGTTGTATAGAAAGAAGGAAAACGTACGCAGTGTCTGCTTTCTAACAAATGGAACGAACAAGAAGTACACGAGCAAGCCGATTACGAGTCCAGAAGAAAATGACGCCACGAAGACGACCCAAAGTTGAACCTTCAAATTGAAAACTAACGGACAAAATAAATGATTTTAATTAAAAACCTCTGTAGACCTTGTAAAATCAAATATTTTCTATGAATATAAAATAATTCAAGAGGTTCTTTTTTATACAACTTACTGGGAATTCCACCATATAAGATAGAGAATACGTTCACAATGATGGTGCAGCCGAAGATAAACGGCAGGGCAAGCAAAGCCGGTTCCAGTGGCCTTTCCTTAATGAGGATAGATTTATTAAATGCAAGTTCTCATTATGCGTACGAATAAACCGTGAGTGGTATCAAGCAAACTGTGTA